GATGAATTTATTTTTATTAATTGCAAGTGTATATATGTATGTACCTATCTATCTATTAGAAAATTATGTATGTAGTAATCTCTAACTTGTTATGTTCTCTTATCATGTTTTCTAAAATGATAAACGGAAAAAAATCTACCTAACAGTAATAAAATAAAGAATAAAGAAATTTACCTGCATCCAAATAAGTTTGTTTTATTTAAATTTTTTTTTTCTATAAGAATTTCTGATCTACTTGCCGCCGATCTTTTATATATGCCATAACTAGAAAGAGCTCAACTCCACGCATGTAGGCATGCAACTCGCGAGAAGAGCCATCGATCGTATCTTTATATCGAGGCGGGCCTCATTCCAAAATTTGCCAAAATTTATGGAATTCCGCTGAGCATAAAGAAAATGTAAAAATCGCTGATCTTTGCCTAAAAATCTATCACATATTAGACAAGCTTTCCAGAATAAAACCTCTTCGTTTCCTTGAATCTCAAGTGGGCCATCTACTACACCTGCGCGCCATCTGGTACTGTCGCATTTGCTTTGAGCTCCTTTCAGCTTAAACCCAGTAGCTTCGCCTCTCGATCGATTTTTCTTCTCCAAGTTTCGCGAGATCTTCTGGAAGGCCTGCCTCTGCCTATTAGTGGATTCCATTCCAAGACCTTCTTTGCAATACCGGCTTCTTCTTTGCACAAAGTCTAGCCTATCCACTTCCATTTCTGTCTCACAATCCACCAGATGTAAAGTGGGGCTCGATGTTAGTTTTTCTGAGCAACTTCTTAGTTGAGATTGTTTTAGGCCAAAAAGTTCGGAGTATCGTTCTAAGACATCTGTTTACGAAAACTTATAGGCGCCTAGTTATTGCAGTAGTGACTTTTCAGGTGGAACAGTCATACAGCAGTATCGAGTGCACATTGGATTTGAAAAGCTGGCTCTGGTTTAACTTATTTGGCGATCTATGTTTTCGTCGACGCTGCCGCTGGGGTTAACGTTGCTGTCAGTGTATGTGAAAATCCCCACAGTCTCAAGAGTTTGCTCAGAAACTAATACGTTACCACAACTCTTCGCTGGCATACTTTGAGCCTTGGTTTTATTAAAGTCTTCTCTATGTAGCGCATTGCCCATTAGACAGGGCAGAAAAGACGAAGCGCCACAAAAGCGTAGTCAATGTGCTGCAGTTAACTGGACATGGCCCACTGAAGTCCACAGTCGGGAAGTGACCCCCTGTCAGCATCCAGCACATCCCCAGTAACGAAAAGAGAAGAGAATAGGTTAGACTATGTAACCTTGTCAAACGAAGCTGTAAGCTTCGAAAGTCTCAGATAGCTTTCTTTTGTGGAGTACATGACACTTAGCTCCGTCGTATTCACATGGATTTAATAATTTTTTTCGTCTACGGCGCAAGGCTGCCGAAAGTGAGATGAAAAACCACAAACGGATTTTTAGCTTATGCAGATAAAACGACCGATTTTTGTCTCGTTGAGCAATTTGGAACCGGATATTTGTGAAGATTTTATTGGATTCGTTCTCGTTGACGACGGTTTTTTGGAAAGGCCGTATGAAATTTCATATTTATTAGATATCGGTGTTAATTAATATTTTTTTGTTTTTTTTTTTAGTGCTACAAAGTAAATGGCGGCCTATGGTTAAATCTTGAACATAATGCATTCGTTTTTAGCGAGTTTTAGTCTTTGTACACTCGTAAAGGCGCAAAACAGCGCAGACACATGGACGATGTCAAACAAAGAGAGAATGCTTCGAGCACTTTCGAGGGCATTACTCTACGTAAGATCTGTGGCCCTGTTCGGGCGGTTAAATGTCGCCGAACCAGTTAGAATTACGAACAGTACGAGTTTTATAAAGACATGAGCATAGTATATAAATAAATAAATAAATAATGACGCTCTGTTGAAAAAATACTTCAAA